TGAGCCACAGGGGGAGAAATCCCCTGTGTAACTCCCAGCACTGTAATAAATATTCTTTGCTCCACCAAATTTGCCCCGACTGAAATTCAATACAGTGAGCGCGTTTCTCACAATTTGGGGTCTCATCCGGGATACCTGAAGCCTACGTTCGGAGCCTTGGACGGGTGAGTAGACTGGGACAGCACGCCACTGCTGATTTCAGAATTATTGTATGTTTAAATGGACCAAAGGGCCCATAAGGCCAAACAAGTTGTATTGGCCAAAGTATGGTTCTATAGAGGGATGGCTGTGTCAAGCACTAAATGTATATGTTAACTCTAAAGAACCATTCGATCAGGAAGTGAATAAGTGAATATGCAGCGTGTTGGAAAGGAGCTGCAGGAGTTTTTAAATTGGAGACACAAAAGGAGAAGGAGAAGGACCAGAGATCAGTCTGGGATCCTCTTGAATACTTACCTCCCCCATATAACCCGGACCCTCTGGAAAGCGCGAGAGCCCCCATTAGAAGAGAAAGCCAGAGGAGACGGAGGCAGGACATGGGGAGGTCCATAGTTGATGAAAATGAGAAGATGACGGAACCAATCGGGCTGCATCCTTTATGGGAGGTCCCGATGTCAAGAGTTCAAAATGAGGTACGATTTGTGAATGTGCCCCTAACCAGTATGGAAGTCAAGAACTTTAAAAAAGAAATGAAAAAAATTGTTGGAAGATCCCCTAAGTTTGTCAGAACAATTAGACCAATTTTTATGTCAAAATGTATACGCTTAGGAAGAAATGCAATCCATCATAGAAACTTTGTTCTCCCCTTGAAGAAAGAAAAATGATTCATGTAGCAGGGATGAGAACATAAGAAAGAGAAAATGTTCATGGGGTGGCAGGCGACCAAAAGTTACCCCTACAAAGACCTGATTGGAATCAAAATGACCCCGCAGGAAGAAGAAACATGTCTGATTACTGGACGTTAATTATAAGGGGAATTAAAAAGGCAGCCCCGAGGGGGTCAAATGTGAGCAAAGCCTTTGATAGTAAACAAAGGAAAGAGGAATCTCCTAACAGAATGGTTGAAGAGGCTCCAAAAAAAAAAAAATTATATATATATATATATTCAGCAGTTTTCTGGAGTTGACCCAGAGACTGTGGCTAGCCAAAAATTATTAAAAGTAAATTTTGTCACCCATCCCTGGCCAGATATTAGGAAAAAACGGAAAACTGGCATGAGAGAAGAATCAATGAATTGTTATAAGAAGCACAAAAAGTATATGTGAAGCGTGATGAGAAAAAGCAGAGGGCAAAAGC